ATTGGAAATCATTCTGAATTCTTGTTTTATGGCACTAAAATGCCGACAAACGAAAAACAGTCCTGGAGAAGCAATGATTATTGTTCATCAGGTCTCATTTTATGGGCTCACTAAATTTTAGGCGATTCAAAGCCCTTTACCTCAATTTATGAAGATGGCGTGGACATTAGTACACGAAAAATTGACCCTAAAATCGTCTTGAATTCTAGATTTAAGGCTCTAAAATGCCTACAAATGAGGAAAAATCATGGCGAATTAATGATTATTGTTCATTAGGTTATTTCTGATTGGACAACAAAATTTTAGGCCATTCACAGCCCGTCGCACGAATTCATGAATATGTCGTGGACATTAGCACACGAAAAATTGAAAATCATTTTGAATTCTTGTTTATGGCCCTAAATTGCCAATAAACGAGGAACCGTCATGGCGAAGCAATGACTATTATTAATTAGGTAATTTACGATAGGCACATAAAATTTTAGGCAATTTATAACTCGTCGCTCGAATTCATGAAAATGGTGTGGATATTAGCACACAAAATTAAATATCATCTTGAATTCTTGTTTTATGGCCCTAAAACGCCAAAATATGAGGAACGATCATAGTGGAGTGATGACTATTGTTAGTTAGGTCATTTCTGATGGACTCGCAAAATTTTAGGTGATTTTGAGTCAGTCACCCGAATTCATGAAAATGGCGTGGATATTAGCATACCAAAAAATAGAAATAGTCCTGAATCTCTATTTGATGGTCCTAAAATGTCTAAAAATGAGGAACAGTCATGACGAAGCAATAATTATTGTTCATTAGGTCATTGTCAATGAGCCCACAAAATTTTATGTCATTCAGAACCCGTCGCCGGAACTCATGAAGACGGTGTGAGTATTAACACATGAAAAGTTGAAAATTGTGCTGAATTATTTTTAGCAAGAAGTACACCAACTAAATCTGCAAATGTTTGTAGCATAGAGAGTGGTGGCAAAAATGGACGGATTGAACAGAATTTGGATGGGTCAAGATGAATTAGGTTAATAAATTGGTCATTGCCACCTCTACATAGAGTTATAACTGCGAGATGTTTAAGTGACAATTGTATTGTATTTCAATTAATGCAACATATCAACACTTTCCTTTCAGCTCATTCTCTCTATATACCTCAATCCACTCTTCAGAAATTCAACTAAATTTTTTGAACTCACTAATTCTAGACCATGGTTGGGATAGCCCTTTGCATGCATGCAACACATTTTAGTGCTACACATTCTTACTAGTCCTGTCAAAAATCATTAACATGGTTTCTTAACTTGTTTGATATTTTTGAACTTTAAGGAAGCGGAAGCTATATTAAGCTAATGTTAATAACTAATCTGAACTCATAATGCATGGATTGAAACAATAGAAGAAAGCATCAGATTAATAGAATCAAAAACAGAAATGGTAATTGGATCAACGGGGATGAGAAGATTGCTAGGAAAGCTGTTAAACATTTTTCAATCTCTTTTCAACCTTACTCTTCCCGCTATCAACACTTCTACTCAGGATTATATCCCTTCTTGTATCTCGGGGGGAGACAATGGTATGTCGATCAGGATACCAGATGAAAAAGAAATCAAAGATGTAGTTTTTAGCCTGAGCTCTCATAGCACTGCAGGTCCAGATGGCTTCAGTGGTACCTTCTTTCAGAGTTGCTAGGACATCATCCAAATGGAGGTAACTGCCTTTGTAATAGAATTCTTCAAGAGAAAAGGTTTGACTAAATTTTACTCTCATATATGTTTGGTTTTAATTCATAAAATTGATAATCGGCCTGCTACTTTTGCTGATTTTAGACCAAAGCCTTTCAAATTTTACTAACAAAATTATTTCTAAAATCATTTCTATTAGAGTTAATACTCTTTTGCACAAATTAGTATCTTTGAATCAAAGTGGTTTTGTAAAAGATAGGTTGATAACCTGAGAATGTATTGCTTGCTCAGGAGATTATTCACAATATTGCTCAAACTAACAAAGGTGGTAATATGATTATTAAGCTTGATACGACTAAAACATATGATAGAATGTCCTGGGATTTTATATATGTTGTTTAAGAAAGTTTAGATTCTCTGATAGTTAGATTTTAATAATCCAAAAGCTAATATCTAATGTGTGGTACTCGGTCATTTTAAATGGTACCAGACATGACTTCTTCTCATCCTCTCAAGGGCTTAAACAAGGGGATCCATTGTCTCCATCTCTATTCATAATAGCTGCCGAGGTCTTGTCTAGATCTCTTAACTGTTTATATAGGAATCCTAATTTCATCCCTTTCTCTATGCCTGCTAATGTTCCAAAGATTAACCACTTAGCCTATGCTGATGATATTGTTATTTTCTATAGTGGTGACTTTATCTCTATTAAATTGATCATGAACACTATCTCTAAATATGAAAGGAGTTCTGGTCAACTTGTTAGTAGGGATAAAAGTTATTTCTTAACTGCTCCTAACACTACTGCTATCAGAATCAACATAATTATAAATTGTTCAGGTTTTATGGATAAGACTTTTCCTTTTACCTATTTAGGCTGCCCTCTTTATGTGGGAAGGAAGAAAATTAATTATTTTGACAGCATGCTTAGTAAGATTGTTAAAAGACTTAATGGCTGACAGGGTAAGTTTCTTTGTCATGGTGGTAAAACTATTTTGATTAAAAGTGTGCTTCAATCCATCCCCGTTTATACTCAATCTGCTATGTCCCCTCCCCCCTAAAAGTGTGTTTAGATTAATTGAAAAGAATTTTTCCAACTTTTTCTGGGGTAATTCTGTTGATCATAAATAAATACCATTGGAGTTCCTGGAACAATCTTGCCCTCCCTACTGAGGAAGGGGGCATTGAAATCAGGAAAATAGAGGATATTAGTGATATGTTAGCCATGAAAAGGTGGTGGAGGATTAGGTCCAGATCATCTCTCTAGGCTACCTTCATAAAAAATAAATAATGTGTTAGGGCTCATTTAGCCTCAAAGAAACCGGCTCCATGTAATTCTCATGCTTGGAATCATGTTCTCAAGGTGATGGGTATTGTAGAGAAGCATATGGTTTGGCAGGTAAACTCTAGGTCTGGCAGTTTTTGGTGGGGTAATTGATCATTAAAAGGTTAATTGACAACTTTGAATCCTAACACTTGTAAGAGTGCTAAAACCTTGGTTGCGGAGTTCATAACAAATGGTCATTGGAACATTTGTAAGCTGAATGACACTTTACCAGATCAATTGGTCCATCACATTAACTCCATTGACATTGAAAATCAAGACAATGAGGATCAAGTATTCTGGGAAATTTCTGAAAATGGCAAATACACTAACAAGAGTGCGTGGAATCTGGTAAGGAAGTCTAAACCAAAAGTGCAATTCATCAACAAGGTATTGAACTCTAATATCCCTTTTAAAATGTCCTTTTTGGTTTGGAGATTATGGAAAGGTAAACTTCCATTTGATGAAGTGATTACTACGTTTGGCAAACAAATTGTTTCTAAATATAACTGTTGCCTAAGCCCCTCTACTGATAGCATGAATCATGTATTTATAGAGGGACAAGCTGCTAGTTATATTTGTAATCTACCCCATTAGATACATGCTTAACATCTGGTGGACTACTAAGCACACCAATGATGTACATAGATTAATGCTAAATATAACTCCTATTATCATTTGTTGGTTTTTGTGGAAAGAATTTTGTACGTACAAGTATGGTGATCAAAAAAATTTCAAAGTATATAAATTGCACCATCAAATCTCTTAGAGTGTCGAGGCTGCAATCAATAAGGCTTATCCCAAATGCAAACCCAGAATGCCATGGAATAGCTTCTGTGATTTATTGACAAGATTACAACCTGTCCACAAATACATGGTGGTCGAACGGAGGAAACCAGGTAGGGGCAAGGTTAAGATCAACACTAATGGGAGCTATCTACAAGGTGAAGGAAATACAGGCTAGGAGGAGCTCTTAAAGATGAGAATGATGATATAATCATGGCCTTTTCAATACCTTTCAATGGCAAAAATCACAATCTTGCTGAAGCTCAGGCCGTGTGGACTGATACCAACTGGTGCGCGCAGAATAGATTCACACAAGCCATCCTTGAGTTGGACTCTCTTTATATTGTAGATATTCGTCGTAAGGAGAGCACAACTAACTATAAACTGAGCCAAATCGCTAGCAAGATTAGAGGCATTTCAAACACATCCAAAATACAGATTATGCACTGCTATAGAGAGGCGAATCAACTTGCTGATTGTTTAGCTAAAATGGCAGCAAAAAATCAACATGCTGCTTTCTTCTACTCCAACCAACATCTGCCCAGTGAAGCTAAGGGACCTCATATGATGGATAAAGAACAGATGCCTAGCATAAGGAACAAATACGACAAGGCCAATTTTTTTGTTAGCTAGGCGTGTTTTGTAATTAGAGGCGGGTGAACTATTTATAATCGCCTATGCCTCATCTTTTGAAGGGTGTGCTCTATCCTTGTGTTGTAATAACAAAACTCTGGTTTTTGATTAATACAACACCCCCACTATAGCTGGGAAAATTTTATTAAAAAAAAAGGCCTGACATTCCCGTTTTTATTTGTATTGACTGATCTTTCTTTGACCAGTGATAATTGCAGATGCCATTTCATGTTTGTTGTCTACTGAAGATGAACTGAGTTGTATTTTGAGGGGATATAGTTGTCCACAAAATATGGTTGACCCAAATTTCATCTATAAATAACAACTCTCAGAGAACTTCTTGACCTAAAAGCTGGTGCATTTTTCTCAAACCAACATAGAGAAGGTTAACTACCAATAGAGTTTTTGAATTTAGAGCATATGCTTCCTCACCTAACAGCTCACCAAATCCTTGTATTCCCTTAAGAACTCTCCCTATATATACCCTTCAGTACTAAATTAAACTCAACTCAACTCAAAACACAACTTAACTTCTTTATAAAACAAAGCATCAGTCTAGCAAATTAACAATGGCTGCTTGTTCAATCCTCTTCTTGATCATAGCGTTGTCCTTATCGAGCATCACTACAAGTCGTGCTGCTCGTAGCCTACTGCAACTTCCAAACTTGCCTACAGTACCGTCATTACTTCAGCCAACAATGCCACAGTTGCCTAAAATTCCCAACTTGCCAACAGCAGCCACATTGCCACCATTGCCAACACTTCCAACAGCTACACCATTGCCTTCTTTGCCGACTTTGCCCTCTGTACCAAAGATGACTCTACCACCAATGCCTGCCAATATTCCTATTCCAAACATGCCTTCACTTCCAACCATTCCCACTATTCCAACCATTCCTACACTTTCACCTCCTCCATCTAACTAGTTATATATCTTGCAGCTCCCACTGCATTTGCTGTCTTACCCCATAATTGGTGTCTACCGCGTGGTTTTTTTAAAAACTTTTTCCTTTTTCTTTTGTCATTTTAATCTTGTGAGTGATTATTGCTCTGAGTGCTATGCATTCATCTGTGCTAATGTTATTCATTGTGATCTATGATTGATTTATGCGTATTTGTCCAGTATATTTTATTGACAAAAGGATCAACTTATATACATATTTTGAACAAATTATTCGAGACCAAACATGCATAGGGGAAAAACTAATTTCTTTGGAACTCCTACTTAATAATGAAAAATAATTAGTAAGTTTTATTGTTTCGATCTTTATTATAAACTGAAAGCAATCGAGTAAAGATGTTTAACTTGAGCTTACGGTATATAAAGCTTCTCAAAATAGCATTTCAATCGCGCGAAAGAGAAAAAACAAAAACAAAAAAATAAAGTCAATTCGGTGTACAAAGTATCCTGCGTTCACGCAGGTCCAAGAAGGGTTGCACTCCAATATTTAATTCAAGTGAAGACACAACGAATAATGGTTTATGCATGTAATGACCAGCCCATATATAAATAGGACTCCTCGTATATAGATCAAAATCAGCCAATTATCATATCAATAAAACAGTGCAAATTATCGTCATTTCGATAAAATACTTGTAATATTTTCTTATACTGCGTTCGTTTACAAACTTTCTTACGAATTTTCTTAAACATCTTCTTACAGTAATATTACCTATAGTTGTTTGGATATATTTCAGTCACAAATTAAGTTTCAGCACGTGAATATAATGTTGTTATTGCGACGCTTTCAAGAAGTTATTCTTGTTCAACCATTTTCGGGATACATTCATGCCAGAATGTCTAAATAAGTCCATGACCAGTAAGAAACTAATCAGGTTAACTCCTCCCCTATAAATCATACTGAAAAGCCGTATATTTCCGCGTGCATTATTTTAAATTCCTCAAAAATGATCATTATTGATTTTGTAATGGTTGCTCCCAAACGCACACGCAAGTATACATGGTCGTACAAGTAATAAAATGATAAGTCAAGTGTCGAACCCATAAAGACTTGTGTTAACTATCCACTAGTTTCACCAGGATTATTATTCTGTCAAGTCAATCAGAGTTCAAAAGTGTGATTATACTAAACAATAATTCTAACAAGTAACTAATTTACCAAGCAGCAAAATAGTTGTTGTGTATTCTGTAGAGACAAATATTCTAGGGTTGTGATCGATTCACCAATCCTATTGTGTTCTAATCAACTCTCCCTTTCATACAATTCACTCATGGTTGCTAACTAATCGAACAATTGCTCTCGTAGTACTCTCCCGAATTCCTACTCGCCTATTCAAAATAGATTAATGCCTATATTCCTATGGAATCAATTTATTAAGAACACATTAAAATTATGATATTTAATTAAGCACAGTGACTAGGTATATTCCTATCTTAACCACAAATCCGCCCCTACTCAGAGTTAAGATCATGCTCTCTTCAATTCTTCTCTAATTTAGACGTAGCTTTCCCAAGCATATCATAGATAGTAAGTAGAACCTACCTGTTGGCCACACAATTAAGTAATTAATCACAACATTAAAGAAGCAACCATATATTAGTGAATTGCAACAAAGGTTAAGTCAATTTAAAACAACAATATTCATGGCTAAATCACAACCCCAGAATCATGGGTTTTAACCACTCATGATAATATCAAAACAAATTCACATGGTGTTGAATAATTGAGACTACTAAGAAAAGATGAAGAAAACTGAGATATTCTTGCTCCTGAATGTTCCTCGTGTCTGAGGAGTTGAGCACAGCTTATTAATTCTCTTGTTAATTATCCAACACTTTGGACATCATAATCTAGTTTTCCATGAACTTCTGGTGAACTGTTTGGCTTAGTTTTCAAGGATTTTAATATCGGATAAACTTGTCTTTCATTTTTTTCTCCAAAATTCCGTGATAAAACTGTAATGAATAGACTTTGAATCAATACCCGGTATGAACACTGGTGGGAGGTTACAGGTATCCAGTGGAATATTCGACGGGTGGAATTTTGCAAGGAATCCAAGAGCAAATGGTGGTATTGTCTGAAGATCCAGCTATAAAACTAGCTATGTAAGGGAGTGCATGTTTGTCCTGCTTCCTTTTTTCTTGTCAGGAATAGATCTACTTTCTTCTCTCAGTTGCTTCTTGCGGAAGGACAACACGACAATTTACCGGTCTAAGTCTAACAGTTTGAATTTGTTTGCTACCAGTTCATTTGACAGGGGATTGACGTATGCACAAAGGAACGGAACAGGCTTTATGATAATCCCGAGACTGTTAAACAAATACTCAAGTATCCTTGTCCTTTTATTATTAAAAGAGAAAAAAGAACCCTTGTTATAATTGTCTCTTGAAAATTTTCTAGTGCTGGTTTTCATTCAACTCAGATCAGACCTCTAAAAGAGGCGAGCATAGTGTTTCCGATGGGGCGCCGGAGCTATCAAATCTAGGCCTGTTAATACTTGATTTTCTACATGTGAGGCAATGTTTTCATATTTCAATTGTTGTATGGGTGCCAACTTTGCCGTGTTCTGAATCATATTCTAGATGTTGATTTTGTTTTAAAGACATGCTACCCCTACCCAAAGCTTTGTCAGTTCCATACTGACATTTCAAGACTCCATCCTCCTCCTTTTTCGGATTTGGCTGATAATAATGCATACATATGGGTGTTGAGGTTGCTTCCAACTGCTGCTATTGATTGAATTTTAAGTTTGACTAGACAAGGACCATAATAGCGATAATTAAGATTCTTAAAGAACCTTCTATCTTGGTACTAACAATAGATGAGAATGACATTACAAATACGCACACACAGTAATATGGTTCATGCTCATTTCTACATAGACACATATGAGTGGATAATTACTGCTGTAAGACTGTTAGTTTCGCTTACACTAAAAAAACAGAAACAAAAACAAAATAGGAAAATGAATTATTGCTTTTGGTTTCAAAATCTGTTTCAGTGTCGAGCTTTTTGTACAATGGTTGCGTCATTGGTTGCACATCCAATTTGTAGGTGTTCGATAGCACTGACTGCTATATCTTTCGAGGTTCTTGGCAACTATTTGCATATTGTGCTCCGTTTATATCATTTTGTTTAATTCGTGTAGCTAGCATTGCACTAAAATGTTCTTTCCAAGCTGAGAGTTCCTGTCACGACCCAAAACCGACCCGGTCGTGACAGCGCCTATCGTAAAACTAGGCCAGCCGACACAACTCCCGAATCAACCATTTTCCAATAAAAGTTGTTTTATACCATTTATAAACAATAGTTCTCATAATGAATTTTTTTTAAAGAAAAAAACAGAATAATTACACAAGTCCGACATTGGGGTGTCACTAGTCATGAGCATCTACCAGGGTCCAAATACAACCAGAGTCTAAAAATATACTAAATACAATAGTGAAAATGAGAGGAAGGAAAGCAGTGCTGTGAACATCGTGCAGCCACCTTGGTAACTCCGATGACTCCGCCTCTGAGCAATCAACACCCGCTTCCGGGTTCCGAAATACCTGAATCTGCACACAAGGTGTAGAGAGTAATATGAGTACTCCAACCCAGTAAGTAATAAGAGTAAATAAAGACTGAGCAGTAAGAAAACACGTCAACCACGTCATAGCACCACCGTGATTACAACATGTTCCCAAATCAGGATACCATTCAAATCATTTCGTTAACAACTTTAGTAAAATCCTTAAAAATTTGTCTTTCTAACCTTTTCAATATAGGCTTAGTGAAATATATATATTTATAATGGAATTGATGAAAATCATAATCGGCCCCTCGGGCAAAACATAGTTCGTATACAGCCCCTCGGCAAAACAGAAATTTATACCCATTTCATAACTTAGAAACTTCAGTTTGAATGAAAGTTGTTTAAAACGTTTGCTCAACATTTTCAATAGAGGCTCGGTCTAAAGATGAGTGAAAGCAGTAATTAAATCAACATATTCGATAAAAACTCACTTTAAGGAGGAGTGAAAAAAAATAGTGAGTTCATAAATAGGCCCCTCACGCAAAACATCACTCATGTACATGTATATCTATAGCCCCTCGGGCAAGCCTCTCAGTCACTCATGACTCACTCTTACCGGTCAACGCTCACACTCAACACTCACACTTAATAGGTACCATATAGTAGCCGCTGCGGCGCACAACCCGATCCATATATCGATGCGGCGTGCAGCGCGATCCATATATCTCGTCGACAGCGCTCACTAGGGGTGTGCAGACTTCGGAAGGGCTCCTACAGCCCAAGCGCTATATCGTTGCGGCGTGCAACCCGATCCATAAATATATAATCCTCACAACTAGGACCCAACCTCTCTCAGTCATTAACCTCACAATCAGACTCTCGGTCTATCTCAGTCATCAACCTCATAATCAGACCCTCGGTCTATCTCAATCATCAACCTCACAATCGCTCGGGCCATCAGTAAATCAGGGAACTTAGCCCAAATAGTTTTCACATTTTAAGAAGTAAAGTGACAAAACCAGATTTAAACGATAACAGGTAAAACATAATTGAGGATATGCTTTCAAAACAAATAGAGTGAGGAAAAGTAGTGAAAATGCCCTAAGGATTTCAACAGGTTGGCACAAGGCCGCAAACATGGCATACAACCCAAAATATAATATCAATATCTAAAATATGGAATATCATAGGATTTCAAATCAAATACGCGACTTGACAGTCGTACAGTGACGGACCAAGTCACAATACCCAACGGTGCACGACTCCATGCTTGTCATCTAGCGTGTGCGTCACCTCAAAATAGCACAACGATGTGAAATTAGGGGTTTCAAACCCTCAGGACAGCATTTACAATCATTACTTACCTCGATCCGGTCCAAACTCTAGCCCGTGATGCCTTTGCCCTCACGAATCGACCTCCGGATGCTCCAAATCTAGCCATAATCAGTAC